GCCGAGACGAAAGCCCTTCCGTCGGGAACAGCGGTGGAGTCGCCAAGTTTTTCGTCGAATCTATTCTCCTTCGACATGGCGCCCCCGAAGTCTTGATAACCGACCGATGGTCATCGTTGTTGGCTCGGCTCACGCAAGAGATCCTTTGGCTCAGCTACACCAGCCACCGTCGCACCACCGCGTACCATCCGCAGACCAACGGGCTAACAGAGCGGCTCAACAAGACGATCGCCGACATGATCTCCATGTACGTCGACGTAGAGCACAAAAAGTGGGACGTGCACACACGCCTTCCTCCGCGACGACACCGTCCGCATGACTTTTCAGCCGCCTTACAACGGACCGTACCGGGTTACCCGTCGCGACGAGAAAGATTTCACTCTACACGCGAACGAGAAGGACATCCGCGTTTCTATCGACCGGCTGAAGCCAGCATATATCCTTTCGGACGAATCAAACAACCCGAGTGCATCCTCCAGCGTCCAGCCACAACCCCCGACAGCGCAGCCCGCGCCAGTTACTACACGTTGTGGACGTCAAATACGCTTCCCGGATTTTTACAAGCCCTGGGGGCTCTCCACTCCGCGAGGGGGTTACGTGGCGACACACAATCACCAACATTTTGGCGCAGTACAACCTCGTCGTCGTCTGCTTCGGGGAAGCACGGCCGCGCGCGACACACGCACGCGGGGCACATGAACGTCCGTCGACCGCCGCCGCCGCCGAGGCAATGAAACCGCCGTTCGTTTTTCTATGTTGGGATTCGCTCGTCACCACGACACAGCACGACACGTCACGTTCGCCTACAATACCGCAGCTCAAGAAACAACCGGGTTTACAGCATTCGAGCTGGTGCATGGCACAAAAGTGACGACCATGCTGGACGCGATGCTGCCCCATGAGCCAGTGGATGACGGATGCGACGATGCGCTTGCAGTCAGTCAGAGAGCAGAAGAGGCTCGCCAACTAGCTCGCCTTCGAATCCACAATCAACAGCGATTCGACGCACGCCGGTATGACCTTCGTCGCCGGGACCTCGACTTCCCACCCGGAGACCGGGTATGGGTGTGGACACCGATACTGCGCCGCGGGCTCAGAGAGAAGCTTCTCAAATGCTATTTCGGACCCTACAAAATCTTTCGACGCTTCGGTGATCTGAACTACGGAGTTTTACCCGACAGAACGCGCCCATCTGCAAGAGGCTAGCCACGACCTGAGGTGGTGCACGTCGTCGGGCTCAAGCCGTATTACCAACGATAGAACTTTGGACTTTCGTCAAAAAGTGAACTGTGGACTGTGGCTCGCGTCTCTGCTATCCTTTTGCTTTGAATTTGTGTTTTCGTTTTGTGCTGCATCGGGACGATGCACCTGTCTTAAGGCCACGGTCCCACTGAATGGGGCAGTTTAGGCACTTTTTGGCAGGTAGGTCATTACTCATCTCCTTGTAGATACTGTTTTGTGGGATTGATGTCATTCGAAAGGCAATGCAATCCTCTTTCATTTTATATTAAGTATGTGTTGGTTTTTACTGTACATGCGCATTTGTAGCGTTACGAATATGATGGCGCGGACCCTCACTTGCTCCGCTAGTTCATGTTTTATGAACGATCCATTAAAGGTAACACGGTTCCAATATAGCAGTTTTGTTAAGATGATGTCGGAGCAGAATGTAACGATACGCTTTTTTGGTATTTGCATTACTTTGTTTTTTTCATCCCTCCAAATATTGCCCTAAAATTGACATTTTTCAGCACAAATATGTTTTTAATGACAAGCGCTAGGGCAATGAATATAGCTACAGATGTAGTGCTTATAATTGGTAATATGCAGAAAAAACTTTAATGTTGTGTAAAATATTTTTGTTTAGATATATTATAGCAAACGTAGCACTTTTTTGTGCTTCGAGTCATGGTACTTCAAATGCCGCTGAGGAAATATTTGAACTATGATAAAATCTTTTATAATATTTAGAGCTACAATGGTTGCCCAAGAGGTGGACGATGGCGTTTTTTCATTTTCAAAGTCATAACGCTCCAGGAGCCCTTCAAACTTACCTGTTTTTGACGCATATCTTTTTTGACATCAAACAGATTTATTGGCATCTAATAATATTTATTGTTTGGAATAGATATACGTTGCGATGTATTAAATTTTCACAATGATCTTGTTTTGGTTTCTTAATATGTGTAGAGCTTAGCTAATTTTAAAAACAATTAAAAACTGTTTGGGTGTTTTGTTGCGCTACCTGGCGGATGGCAGGCAAACTGCTGATTTCTAGTGTTCAAAAAATTTCCGAGGGCGGCGTTGGTATCTGTATCATCATCAATCTCCGTGTCTTTTTACCTTCACATTTAAAAAATATATTGGAAGATTTACTATCGATAAATGAATGGTTTAAGTACTGAATCAGGTTAATAAATCCAAGACAAATAATTACACACGCGTTGCGTGATATAATGTGTTCATTATTCGATATGAGTGTCTTGTTCAGAGCAAACGCAACTGCCGATCGTCATGATCCAAAAGTACGACTTCCTCAGCATTGGATGCGGTGCTAGGAAGCTGATGCAATATTGCGGCTCTGTCGCGGGTTGTTTAAACATTTGGGGGGGACGGAAAAGCGTTTCCTTTGATTTTAGATAAAGCTTCAGGTAACTGGCAACCATGATTTTAAGCCACAATATGGCCAAGTGTCGTTACTCTGAACCGTAGCTAATTTACTGGCACAAGCGGGAACAATGAGGAAGAGGCAGGTGTCAAAAGGCAGTGGCTTGTGGAATCCGCGGGGCTTAGGTCATGGCCCCTCCAGATATTACAAGCCTCTTGAACAAGAGTATGAATAGTGTCATTAAATAAGCTCCGCGTCAGAGTAGCGACACTTGGCCATATTGTGGCTTAAAATCATGGTTGCCAGTTATTTAAAGCTTTATCTGAAATCACGAGAAACGCTTTTCCGTCCTCCACTTTAAACAGTGTGCGACAAAGCAAAGCAACATTACAGGAGCTTCCTAACACCGAATCTAATGCTGAGGATGTCGCACTTTTGAATCATGACAATCGCCAGTTGCGCCTGCTCTGCACGAGCACCAGAATGGCGGCGTTCACAACACTGTCGGGTAAGAGAGTGCCGATACTCTAAGCGCAGCTAATTTATTTGCTCTTGTTCCTGCGAAACTCCTTTTCCCTGACTGAAACGGAAAGTAAATATGAATAATACACCATTATTATAGCTTATTTAGTTATAACCAAATACACATAATGAGAGGAGGAAGCGGGCGGGTAGGAGAAACGCGGGTTTTATGTGCGACCGTTCTAACCATCTCAAAAGAGAGAACGTAGGAGCTTGCTCTGGTTAAAAAAGGAATCCAAAGAAAAGAAGCGGCACGCTGTGCTCTTTGTTATTATGCGTCTAATTGCAAATTGTTGTGTGTATGTTTATACAGCCGGAAGTTAGTCCGCCTTAGTGGGCGTCTTACTCTCAGCTGTAGATGAGCAATTTAGCCAGTGCAGTACAACCGCAAACCTGGCGTCTTTAACGTGTACCACGCAGTAGTGATACGCGACCGCACGTCGGTACGATGCCGTTCCAGATCAAAACGGGCAGGGGCGGGGTGGCTTCTGCAGCGCGAGCTTTCGCTCCAAGTGCTCCGAGCTGGTGTGCGCTAAACCATGCACTCGGCCACCGACCCCCCCCCCCCCCCCCCCTTTTTTTTTCTGCCTCTAATTTATATACAGGTATAAGTATTTGAAGATCGACGTTGGACGTCTATCGTCTCGAGGTAATGTAACGTAATAACATTATATAAATAATAAACTTGTTGAAGGACTGAACGACTCAATTTTTTAATTTTTGAATTGTAATATGGCGGTAGCCTATAGTACTTACTGTTGATGAAGAGCAATATGAGGTGACGAGGTAATGATTAAATGATGAGGCTATGTAAGGACGATGACATTAGTGGGTGTCAAACCACAACGTACAGTGCCAGACTTGTTTCAAGTATCGTGTACCCAAAGACTTTCTTCACCCGCAACAGTAAATGGTAGAATCAATGAGGATGCTGCTTTACAACTGTACGTAGAACAGGAAAGCTGCATTGTGTAGAAGTGCGGCCTATTCGTTAATATGAGGGACGGATTTCTAGCAGTATTTCCCGATTGACTACTTGGGACAAATGGCCTCGTTGACATAAAGTGTCCCCGCTCCAAAAGATTCTTGAAGCATACTCTAACTGCAAAGGAGTATGAGGCTAAAAATAAGAAAAACGAGCCTGGTGTAAAAGGTCCAAATCACCACCATAGCTTCTACTATCAAATACAAGGGCGGTAACACAATAAACAAAGAGGTTTTTTGATTTAGTTATATTTACACTCAAGGGCATTGATATCCAACGTATTCAGAGAGATGACACCTTCTGGTCAACCAGCATAGAGCCTTTTCTACTAGTTTTACATGGAAGGCCGGACTTCCGCTGAAATTCCTTACGTAGCCGAGTTGTCCGACCGAATAAACTGCAATTACTCCCGATCTGGGATTCTCTCGATCTTCGTTCGTAAGCCATAGTATCATGAGATCGAGGGGTGTGGCTCTTCGTCCGCCGAATATTGCTTCGGCGGGTGTTTTTACCGAGAAGATAAGACCGTGGCGTGCTGCTGGAACAACAACTTGGCGATTCTTTACTGAACTGCGTCTTCCGTAAGCCTCAAAAGGGCTTTTTTTTTTTTTTCGCACACCATCTGTTCTGCATGCCCGTTAGTTGCAGGATGTTATGGTGCACTAATGTGATGCCTGATGCCGGTTTTTTGTCTTCAAAAACTTGTTTATTTTATATGAAGCAAGATTTGGCGCGTGTTATATTCTGCGCCGACGCGGCGGCGCTCTAAAGCCTGACTACATTGGACGCAAGCGCCGGTGACTTACGTTCGACGTAGCCGGGAAACTACATGCCCCGAGCGGACCTGGACGGTCGCCGGAGCGAGAAGAAAAGACAACCAACGGATTCAGGAGCGGGGCGAACACTGGCCGATGAGGCCGCAGATCACGCGCGGCTCATGCCGTCGCGTGCTGTCCTTTTGATTTTTACATGGATGCACGAGATGGCTACTTTAAAAAGGAGATGTCAAGTAGCGCCATCTCGTGCAAATCAAAATACTACATTCTCCCTCCCTTAAAAAAAGAAATAAGAAAATTGTGGGAGGAAGACTTACGTTATACATTCGTTATGTGAAAAAAAAAATAACGAAAATCCAAACACTTCACCACCCGAAAAATGCGTTATTTCACTGGAAATATTGGTTTTGAAATTGTTCGTTGAAATACAAAAAAAATATGAAATTCGCAAAAGATTGTTCATAGACGTTCTTTGTGTGCACGACACGGAAATTCAACAAAATCTTAAACAAGTCATCCAAACAAAACGGGTTTTCACTGAAAGTTCAGGTTGCATCATACTAGTCACGTGACGATCAAAATTTCATTCCAAGAGTCATATTTCAACTTGGAGCACTCTCATCTCTCCTCCTCTTGGGAGGAAAATGAAACATCCAACAATACCTATTTGAGTACATTTGTATTACTATGATTTGTATTTTCTATTTCCATTTTAATGTCCATGACACATTGTAGTGTTGACTGTTAGTTTGTTAGTTTGGTTATTGTTTAGAATATTGTGTTTGTCATGGACATTTTTACCTTGGCCAAGGTTTTGCTATAACAGTGATATGCTTTTAATGTTCTATATGTACCCAAACTTGATACCAAAAATGACCTTTTTCGAAAACATAGCTACAAAAGTCTTAGTCACTGTACTCCGAATCTGACTGAAAACTATCATCGCCAAGTGCAAGAATATAGTCTTTGAACTTCAGCGGAAGTCTTCTCTGGCGTATTGGCCGACCTTGCCTCGCTGGTGGTAGAGGAGCTGTAGATGGCTCGGAGATCGTGGGTGGTGTGTGGAACTCGGTCGTGAGTTCTTCCACTGAATCCTCAAGTGGAGGCATAGATGGCGTACTCGTTCCCGAAGACTCCAGAGTACTCATTTCTGGCGACGGCAAAACGAGCAGTTCTGCCCGTGTGTCTGGGCAAACTGCCAGATCGGAGACAGGTAGTTGCTCTGCAACCACGGACTCTGGTGATGACCCTGGCACAGCGTCCGGAGCAGCAACAACCACTGGCCCAGGAAGAGGCCTGACCGCAGCCTCAGGAACAGGCCTGACAAGCCTGTCAGGCTCCACAGACTGTCCAGCGTCTGCCACGGAAGCAGGGCAGAGCTCAGGTGCAGAGATCCCGATCATGTCGGGTACAGCCGACCCGAGATTCCCCTCGGAAACAGGAGCAGGGCCCCCAGGAACAGAGGCAGGCCCAGGGACAGCTCCAAGAACAGTTCCAGGAACAGGTCCAGGAACAGGCCCCGGTACAGCACGCGGAGCAGGAGACTCGGCCGCAGCAAACAGATCTGGCTCCTTGGGAGAACCCAGCGCTGCATGGCGAGGTGCACCTGCCATGGGTGCAGCAGATGAACCGGGTCTCCCCAAGAGACCAGACGCTGCGGGGTTACAGGAACCCTCCGGGCAAGAAAAGACAATTGGTACTTGGGACGTTGAAGTGCTTCCACGGACAGGGGTCAGTACAGGAACCACTGGAGTTGCAGGAGGTATATACAAGTCATCTTCGTCATCATCATCATCCCAACCGTAGTCAGGAACTTGTGCTGGAGGCAGCTGTATGGACTTTGCAAGCTTCGCTGCGTTCCATTTCCTACCGTCAGCGAGTTGATATGTAGCAGGTCCTAACTGTGCATGTATCCGTTGTGGTTCTGTATATGTACTCCGCAACTTGTTGTGATGGGTGGGCTTGAATACGCGAACAGCCTGCCCAGGATGAAACTGAGGGTGTCGTACCGCTCTACGATGGTCAGAATAATCTTTCATGTTTTGTTGATAGCGCTGTACTCTTCCATGTAGCTGAGCTCGACGTTCCAAGAGATCGTCAGGTACCGTCCTAGTCGGCATGCCTTGTACGTCCAGTCTAGACCGATGATTTCGTCCATGAAGGAGAAAGGATGGTGCAAATCCTGTTGCAGGATGTACCGTACGTCTGTACGCTTCCAGGTGGTCTCGGACGGCATCTGGAAGTGGACGACCTTGTACAACAGCTAACTGAAGGCACGACTTCAGGACTCGGTTAAATCTTTCCACCTGCCCGTTACATTGGGGGTGGTATAATGACGTTCTCCTATGTTTGATGCCATGTTGACGCAAGAAATCTTGAAATTCATGGGAGGTAAACTGTACTCCATTATCTGACACAATCTCGCAGGGCAGTCCCTCGCGTGAAAAAACGTTCTTCAAAAAGCTGATGACAGTCGCAGAAGTCACAGAAGACGTGGCTTGAACTTCTGGCCACTTGGAGTGGTAATCTATGAGTACCAAAAAAAACCTTTGACTGGCCGGTGCACGATCAACCGGGCCCACGATGTCGATTCCTAGCTTTTCCCAGGGCTGACTTGGAAACTGGATGGGCTGCAAGGGAGCCGGTGCAGCCTTCACTGGTTTGTCGGTAGCATGGCACACCGTGCAGTTCTGGATCTTGTTCTTTATGTGTTCATTCATCAACGGCCACCAGTAGTGTTCCCGGATCACACTTGTGGTTCTTGTGATCCCCTGATGAACTTCGTGTGCTACTTCCACGATCCGGTCTCGAAACTCGACAGGGACGACAAGTTTTTCTCCCTTGTACAAAATACCGTCGTACAGCGACAGTTGGTCTCTGACGTGATAGTAAGGCCGGAGATCTGGATTGGTTTTACTATCTTCAGGCCAAACCGAGGTAGTATAGCGGATGACTGAAGGAAGAACTATGTCATTGGCCGTAGCCTGTTGAAAACCGCCTTTCGACAAAGGAACCATTACGACGGAAACAACTTCCTCGTCGAATCTCATGCCCTCCTCAGTGTCAGACACTGGCAACCGTGAAAACGCGTCAGCAACGACGTTGGTGGCGCCCTTCTGAAACTCCATTTTGAAATTGTAATTCAGAAGTCGGGAGGACCAACGAGTGATCCTTAGAGGACGGATTCCGGAACCTTTGTTGGACAGCAACGTGACCAACGCCTGATGGTCAGTACGAATGACAAAAGACCTTCCCCACAGATACACGTGCCACTTTTCACACGCCCAAAGACATGCGAGAGCTTCCTTCTCGCCCGTGGAATACCTTCGCTCTGCATCAGTTAGCGAGCGAGACGCGAAGGCTACAGGACGAAGCTGGCTACCATACTGCTGCTGCAAAACAGCACCGAGACCGTACTGAGAAGCATCTGTGGCCACGACGATAGGCAACGTCGGGTCAAACATGGCCAAAATTGGAGCTTCTTGGATGGAAGTCTTTACTTTCTGAAAACTGGCCTCGACTTCCGGAGACCAGTTGAAACGAACTCCTTTACGTAGGAGACGACGCATCGGTTCGACGACCGTGGAACAATGAGGGATGAACTTGCTGTAGTACTCTACCAGCCCTAAAAATGCTCTTAACTTCACTGCATCAGAGGGAGTTGCAAAATTTAGGACCGCATCTACCTTGGATGACAGGGGTGCTAAACCTTTCACGGAAAGATGGTGTCCCAAAAATGAGAGCTCCTGTACTTGGAAAACACCTTTACGGTTTAGCTTCATTCCTGCTTGGGAAATTCGAGACAAGACACGACGGAGATTCTCATCGTGCTCCTTCAAAGTGGATCCATAAACGATGATATCGTCCAGATAGAACTGAACGCCTGGACAATCCCTTAGGATTTTGGACATGAGTTGCTGGAAAGCTGCGGGTGCGGATGCCAGCCCGAAGCAAACTCTCTTAAAGCGAAATAACCCCTCGTGGGTAATGAAAGACGTGAGGTCACGACTCACCGGGTCGAGACGGACTTGATGGTAGGCGGACGCCAAATCCAGCTTGGAGAAGATCGCCGCTCCCCGTAGAGAGTTCAACAGTTCATTGATGCAAGGAAGTGGAAATGAATCAATGACAACGGCCTGGTTCGGAGCTCGTAGGTCCACACACATACGGATGTTGCCATCGGGCTTGCGGACGACAACAATAGGTGACACCCACTCGGAGGCTTCGACACGTTCAATTACGCCCTCTCGCTCCAGCTTGAAAATTTCTTCGGAAACCCGATCCCTTAGGGTCATCGGGAGGCGACGGAGCTTTGATTGGACTGGTGGAACTGTGTGCCGCACCTTGACCTTGTGCGAGTGATTCTTCAGCAGACCCAACCCCGGGCTAAAAAGATGTTCAAAATCTTCGAAGCCAGGTGGCAACTTGGATGCGTCTCTCTTCGAGGAACCACCAACAAGGCTCGTTGAAGGACTGGATTTCTCTGGATGACGCTGCATACCTTGGGGCGCTTGACTCCCCGGATGATCTTGTGGACCGTGTAGTCCGTGACTCTCAGGACTGTGGAGCTCTTGACTCTCAGGATGACGTTGTGGATGATGGAGCCCTTGACTCTCAGGATGACGTTGCGGACTATGGAGCCCTTGACTCTCAGGATGACGTTGCGGACTATGGAGCCCTTGACTCTCAGGATGACGTTGCGGACTATGGAGCCCTTGACTCTCAGGATGACGTTGCGGACTTGACTCGTCCTCGAAGACTTTAGGTGTGGTCTCTTCAGAGACCGATGAAGCAGGAGACGGGTTCTCCGCAAATGAAGGTCTGGAACTTGCCGCTGGTCGAGAACCAGGGACTTGCGATGCTTGACAGGACGACGCGGTGAACGGTCGTCGCTGCGGGTTGGGCATGGGCCTCACATCCCGCTGTGATGCTCCTCCTCCGTGAGCTGCATTCGCATACAAACACTCATGTTTAGCGCCATTCAACACCAGTTGCAACTCGCGGACCGCGTCGATGCCGAGTAACGAACGTCCAGTCTTGGTTACGTAAAACTCCAACGTTGTCCAGCGGTTCTTAAAAATTACTTGTCCCACAAAACATCCAAGTACCGGAATGGTCTCTTGCAAATAGTGGACGAGAGGCGTCGACGGCGGATGTAACTTTATCCTCCGCTGCTTGTTAACTTCGTTAAACATGCGTTCATTTAGGATCGACACACATGAACCGGTATCAACAAGAAGACGAAGAGGGGTCCCATTTACCGTGATCTCGGCCATGAAGGCGTCACGACGCATGCTGCCGCCTTCTCGTCGCTCGGCCGTCCCGACGACCACAGGTTCCTCCGTCAGCCTAACGCTTGGCAGCTCCTCAGGAGACAGCGACTGGCCGACCACGTTCACCCGGCCGGGCCGGTCCCCTCTGAACTGTCTGTCGGCGAAGGTCCGCCGAGTACCACGGCCTTGAACCGGGAACGATGCCTGTCGCCGATCGTAGGTGAAGGCAGCCGCCGGCGGGCGACGACTCCGACACGCCACTGCAAAGTGTCCCCACTTTCCACATAAGAAGCATGTCGCTTGAGACGCCGGGCAAACCGCTCGATCATGACGGCGGCGTCCACAGAAGTAGCAGGCGTCGTCTGCTCCGATCCCACCCGTCCGAGGCGGAGCGGGCTCACGCCCACGCTGAGGCTGGAACACCCTCGCCGGAAAACGGGGCACGTGACCGGAGGCCACCGGAGCCCAAGGAATCCTGGGTCCAAGCTGCGACGGGGGGTAGCCAGGTTGAGGCCAGGGAGGGTAGCCGCTGTAGCCATCTTGCCCATGCTCGATCGAAGAAGACGACGCTTGGCCGCCATCTTGTGTTGCTGCCGTTTGACGTTCCTCGATCTGGACACGCTGGACTTCTGCCGCGACCGGGACTTGCGACTCTCGCCGCCGAAAACTTGCGGCCGTCTTCGCTCTCTGCTCGTACTGGCGAGCGATCTGGATAGCCCGCGACAGCGTTGGCAGCTCGCTGCCCTCGCACTCCTGCAGAACGCGATCCTGAACGCGTCTGGACTCCAGGCCTTCCAAGAAAACCTCGCAAAGTCTTTCATCGAGCGCGTTCCCCAGAGCACAAAACGAAGCCTGATGGCGCAACACGGCAAGAAACTCAGTTACCGACTGGCCAGGACGTTGGAACAAACCGCGCAGCTTCTGGCGTTCAAGCGCGATACTACCCGAAAACTCAAAATGCTTCTCGACTGCCTCCAGAAAAACCTGGAACTCGTCAGTCCCCTCCACCGCAACCGTCTCGTACAGCTGAAATGCATCCACGATGCGCTGGCCCTCAGTGCCCAACAGCGAAAACAGGATGGCTTTTTTTCGGAACGGTTCTACGAGATGCAACGCCGACGCGTCAAGAAAAGTCAGAAAAGCACGCTTCCATGCTGGCCAAGCTACTATCGGCGGACCGGGCACTGCCAAAAAGACGGCCGGCGGCGGGAACGCCGTGGGGCCGCTCGAAGACGAAGATGACGAAGTCATCTCACGATGAAAATAGAACGTACTGAAAACCTAGGCCTAATGCCTCCCCCCGAAACTCATCAAACGCGGCCTTTCCGCAAAATATGACTACCGTTCACCCGGAACAAAAAGGAATACATTTCATGAATACAGTTACGCGCCGGTTTCCTCAACCACTGACCCGCGACGCGGAGTGAAGCCCCCTCCCGAATCCCGGGTTACAAAAGAGGAAATGCTACATATTAAAACAAATATCCCATCCTCGTCGCCAAAATGTTATATTCTGCGCCGACGCGGCGGTGCTCTAAAGCCTGACTACATTGGACGCAAGCGCCGGTGACTTACGTTCGACGTAGCCGGGAAACTACATGCCCCGAGCGGACCTGGACGGTCGCCGGAGCGAGAAGAAAAGACAACCAACGGATTCAGGAGCGGGGCGAACACTGGCCGATGAGGCCGCAGATCACGCGCGGCTCATGCCGTCGCGTGCTGTCCTTTTTATTTTTACATGGATGCACGAGATGGCTACTTTAAAAAGGAGATGTCAAGTAGCGCCATCTCGTGCAAATCAAAATACTACAGCGCGTTATCAGAGATAAGTATTTTCGGTAGGGGAAGACGACGACGTTTTCAGGCAATCAACGCCATTCTTCTTGCTCTTTTGGAAAAATAGGATTTTTCAAAGTTTCGTGATATTATCCAGTCAGATTTTCTTATTGACGTCAAGCGGTGAGGTCCCGGACGCGGCGCATGGTCGCCCTTTCCCTGTAAACACCGGACCGACGACCTGGGCAATGGACCAACCGCCACCAGCTGAAACACCCGAAAGAGGGGATCCTGGACCATCACATGGCAAGTCACCACCTCAATGTACCGCCCCACCACCGCCGACCCTTATCCCCGGTGACCTCAAGAAAGCTCCCATTAAAAGACGATGTACAGACCCAGACTCATATCACGACTATGATGATGACAAGACCTCTACTTATTCCGTTCAAGATGCTATTTTACATTCCAATGAAGACGAATCTCCAGAAGATCCCATGCAAGTTCTGGAAGCCGATGAAGATAATCGGCCCTTTATCCCAGTCCACTACAAGAAAAACCGCCCTGCGGGCATTCCAGTGGTTTTCAAACCCAACAGTTCCAATGCATCCTTGTGGAGGGTAAATCCTAACGAAGTGGCCAAAGAGATCATTGATGTTGCACAGGAGAAGCTACTCTCACATAGGATGAACAAAGACGGGAGCCTTTTCGTGAGTGTATCATCTCTGCAAGCAGCCAACAGATTACTAGCCATATCGACCCTTTGCTCTATTGAAGTGGCGACAAGTGTACCCCACTCCTACTCACGGAATCTGGGAAAAATCAAAGGAGTACCGATCGAGTATACCGACGAAGAACTACTAGACTATTTTAAAAATCTTGGAGTTATTTCTGTTCAACGGCAAATTTCGTATAGAAGACAAGAGGACGGCACCGTGGAACACCGCAAGACTGAAAGCGTGCTCCTCCACTTCCGCCCAGACCAACCAATGCCTACACGCGTTCTCTTAGGCTTCACAAGTCACACTGTTGACGAGTATTTTGGTCCTCCAGTGCAGTGCTATCATTGCCAAAGGTACGGACACATTGCGCAATACTGCCGTGGACCACGGCGCTGCAAAGTGTGCGCAGGTCCGCACCAGCGCAAGACTTGCACCAATCGGCAAGAACCCAAGTGCGCAAACTGCGGTAACCAGCATGCCGCTACCTTCTCTGGGTGTCAACGCAGAAAGGCTGCCTCGGTTATCCGAAGACAGGACGTCTTAAATGGCAAGGAAAATCGTGGGTTCGCGGCCACCTTAAACCCTGAAGTTGTGCGCGTCCCCTTGCCTGTCCCGGTTCCAACGGATAAGCGAGCCCAAAAGCCAACTTACAGTGACGCATTGAAGAAGACGACGAATGGAGTGAAAGAAAAACACAGAGAACGTCGGCCACATGAAGACGCACCTGAGACAGCCAGAGGAATTCCATCAACTATGCAATTACTGAAATCAGCCCCTACCACTCAGACGACCATCCGACAACCTATGTCGGTATCATCAGCTCCAAGGCGCAAACGACAAGAGCAGGCTGGTGACCTTGGTAGCGTCCTTATTCCTATGCTTTTTGCTGCGTTAAGGGCCATCATAAAAGCGATCCCTGATTCAGACAACCTACCAGAAGTGCAAGCCCTGCTTGCAATGGAATCCTTTTTGAAAGTAGGACCTTTCCACCGCTAGGAGCGGATGGCCTCGGCTCAAAGTCACAACTTCAAGAAACGTACAAACGATAAACCCGAAATTCCAAGAATACTACATTGGAACGCTTGCAGCCTAAATCCCCGCCTTCCAGATCTTCAGAGGTATCTACTCTCCACTAGGATTGATATACTGGCGATTCAGGAACCTAACAACGATCCATCCAACTGCCGCCTGTCGCCCTACGTAGCCTATTACAGTTCTACAAAAGGGAAGGACTGCAAGCCACGATCTGTAGTCTTTGTTCGCGCCGGCCTTCCTCAATCGCCAGTAGACCTATCTTCAGTTTCGAAGAGTAGTGCTGAATATGCTGCTGTATCTGTTAGATACAAAAACGTGGACTTCACAGTCGTTTCAGTGTATGTCCCTCCAAATTGCAAATGGGATGTCGGAGAGCTTTCCGATGTAAAGCAGAGAAGCAGAGGCCATCTTATACTCTGTGGAGATTTCAACGCCCACAACAAGATATGGGGTGACCGCAAAAATACAAGAAGAGGATTTGATCTTGATAGTATGACATCTTCACTTCATTTAGAGGCCCTTAATGACGGTGCGGAAACGTTCATCAGACCTGGAGTTGGCCGCAGTGTATTAGACCTGACGTTCCTGTCCCCGGATATATTGGCAGATTGGAATGCGCTAGCCGATTCCTGGGGCAGTGATCATATACCGATCATGATTACCAGCAAGTTTGCCAAAAAGACAAACAAAACTTACAGAGAGGTTCGAGTTACCAACTGGGATGTATTCCGATCTCACATGGACTTTGCTCTAGCTGGCAGCACGACAGAAGACACAACAGCCATGATTGCACGAGCCATTCAGCTGTCAACAAAGACCATTAGAGTACCATACACCCGGCCTGTTCCCGACCTCATGTACCTAAACCTAAGGGCTGCTCGACGCCGCGCACAGCGACGAGCCCGAAAAACAGATGATCTGGATGATTGGAATGAACATCGCAAGATCGATGCTAAATTTCGCCGATATACTAAGCGCCTCCAACGCCTACAGTGGAACCAACTATGTGAGTCGTTTGGTTCCCCATCGGGTATTTCGAGAGCATGGAGGATCGTCAGAGTCTTGAAGGATAAAAAGCAGCCAGAGCATCCCGTTGCAGGATTAGCGCTAGCCCTAGGCCGTACTACTCAAGAAACCGCGGAGCTTCTTGCTGATGCGTTCGCTGCCCCGATTCCGCCACCACAGGGATACAGGGACAAGCCTCCAGTTCCATTGAAAACAAATCCTTGCTCAGAAATGGACGCTGACTTCACCATCACTGAACTTGATGTCGCCCTCCGACGCTCGCGCCGTCGAACCGCTCCGGGACCGGACGGCGTAACGTTTCAAGCACTGAGAAATCTTTCTTTCCCGCATAGAGAGGCCTTACTGGAGTCTATCAACAACATATGGAGAACGGCAAAAATCCCTGCAGCATGGCTCACCTCTGTAGTGGTTCCTATCAGAAAGCAAGGAAAACCCGGTGATCGGATTGAATCCTACCGGCCAATTTCTCTCACCAGTTGTGTCGGGAAATTAATGGAAAGACTAGTACTTTCAAGACTTACGTGGCTGCTTGAATCCAAAGGAGCACTGCCAGATCAACTCTGCGGATTCCGACGAAGGAGGTGCACCTTTGACGCCATTGCTGATCTCGTTTCGAGCCTTGAAAATGCACGTTCAACTCACCAAACAGTCTACTGCATATTTTTGGACATATGCAAAGCTTTCGATGCCTTGCCACACCATACTATTCTGCGTCAACTTACACGGTACGGAATTGGTGGAAGAACATATGACTATATCGCCGCGTTCCTCACTGGCCGCAGCCTAACAGTAAGAGCTGCCGAATGTCTAAGCACTCGTCGGTCGGTGACCCAAGGCGTTCCCCAAGGAAGTGTACTGAGCCCGTTTCTGTTTAACCTTACCATGGCAGAACTTCCGCTATGCATAAACTCCGCAGAAACGTCCAGTACAACAGTTCACATGACGATATACGCCGATGATGTGGCAATTTGGTGTGTCGGTCCATCCAGACTGTCAAGGACCATCGGCAAAAGGCTTCAGAAAGTTCTTGACAGCACGACTTCAACTCTAGAAGAACTAGGACTTAATTTATCTACAAGCAAAACAGCCTTCCTTTGTTACCGCCCTGGTCGACATCCAAACCGCAAAGTTGCAAATACGCCAACCATCAAAGGAATACCGATCCAAAGAGTCTCAACGTACCGATACTTGGGGATGGAAATAGATGACCACGTTACATGGAGACCCGAGATAAAACGACTTGTAACGCAGTGCACTAAATTATTAACTGTGCTCCGTCACTTCCATCGCCAGAAATCTGGACTGCCTCCTCAGGGACTTCTGATTCTCTATCGTGGCCTTATCCTCTCAAGAATGTTATACAGCCTACCTCTCATCACAATCAGGGCTCATCAAATGACCACACTCGAACGTTTTCACCGCATTGCCCTCCGTCAGTGCCTTGGACTGCCACGCTTCGCGGGCAATACGGCGACACTCGTAGAGGCCAAGGATCAAACAGTAGCAATGCACATAAGAATAAGAGCAATGAATCATATCACTCCTATGTATGGAGCACGATCTGCGACATCACTGCTGTCCGACATTGAAGAGCGTTTTGATTCGCAGATAGGTCGATGTGTACAAGAATTTAACTTACAAATTGGACCTCCTAATTGCCATCACTCTCCTCCGGCACCTTTCATAACCCAACCGCCGTACATTGTAGAAGAAACGCTTCCTTATTTCCCGAAGAAGAATTCTATCTCGGCCACTGTCGGAAGGTCGCTTGCAGCTGACCAACTGACAAGCACGTACAATGGTTGGCTCCAAGTGTTTACTGACGGGTCAACGAATCCCACAACTGCAACATCTACAGCGGCATTCGTCATTCCCGATGCCGGAATCGAAGCATCACACCGCCTCAACTTCGCAACCACGTCAACGACAGCGGAGCTGGCTGCACTAGCAGCGGCATTAGATGCGCTTCACAACCTCAATCCTTGCAAGACTGTTATTCTCTCCGACTCTCGAAGTGCGTTATCCAATTTGGAAGCTTCAGACCAAGCTCCTTTTCTGGCCCAATGTGTGGCCGACAAGGCCCGAAAACTTTGCATGCGAGGGTGGCAGTTGGCTT